GAAGCTGGAGTATCTTCAAGAGGAAGTTCTTAACTATGTCAGGCTCTCCATTCAAAAGCACTATGAACAAAATCTCGTACAAAAACCTGGTCATAGTTTAGGATTCATTTATCCATTTTTTAAAGTAATTCCCGACCCCATGCAAAAAACAGATGCTATCATTGCAGATTTTGGTGAGAGTGCAATTGGAAGAGTTGCTCCAGTTGACTCTGGATTCTGGTGGATTATTCTGCTTCATGCATATGCAAAGTCTACAAAGTCTCCGTGCATGTGACAGTTTTTCATATCCATTTTTTATTTCAAAAATAAAGAATTGAACTGACAGTCTCTTTTAACATCTATATTGTAGGACAAATAAGATTCATTTATCCACTTAAGGTTTTTGGAGATAAGAACCTTGATATAGTGATGAATGTGAGGTTTTGGTTTCGGGCAAGTACGCACACTCCGCCACCCATGCCCCGTAAAGAAAAAACTTTTATTCATATCCTTCCTGTACCCAAATTGGGTTTAGATCTAATTACCTGTCCCTACTCCATGGGTAATGTCTTATACCCGACTGGCAGAACCTCGAAGCCCCACTGTAACAACTAGTTCCCCATAAGTGTGCATTATTATAGGAAACACATCATCCTTAAAAATTTACAAAAAAGCAAGATGCAAAAATCCCTTTAAATAAGTATTAAATTAGCCAATGTATGATGAGCTGAAACTATTTAAAATAATCTCATGTCAACAAAAGTCCAAACAATTCAATTCAAAGTAATCCCAAAAGTTCCAATCTCCACAAAGTCCAAGTAAATATTATAAGACAATATTGAGCAGATACCAATTAGTTCATTAAAAATTGTATGGAGAAATTTTAAATGAAAAAGAAAGTAAAATAAGAACCTGAGTTCCCAAAAGAATTTGTGGCAATCATGCAATAAGACCGCTGAAGTGAAACCTGCTAAGAGGATCCTACTGAAGGAATTGTCTATGTCCATCCTATAAGTCGCACGATTCCTGCAAAACTAAGTATGCAGATCCCTAATGAGCTATGATGCCTGATGAATATCATACATTCTATTTAAAGGCTCAATCACTTTGGTAGGATATTCAATTACATATTTTTTCAGATATGTATAAGTATATTTCTGTCTAACAATCACGTATTTTCCTTCATCGTCTAACGTATTTATTGACAATCAATCATATAAGTAAATTAATATGAGTTCATATAGTGACAATAACAGTCACGTATTTTTCATTCTAAACAACCATATACATAGAGCCGTAATATTCAATAAAAAAAACATCAAACCCTTCTTAACGGTTCTAGAATCATATTCCTCATCAATTCAATATCGTAGCCTGATTCCTGCATTTGGTATAAAATTTCCAGCCCACAAATTCCAAAATTTTCGAAATCACATAAGTAAATTAATCAATCGAAATCCAGAAACTACCAAGCAACGCAAATCGCTACTAGAGATCACATGGCTGGCTAAGAAGGCCAAAAACTACCAGTATATGTGTTTTTTGGCTATGAAGGCTGGCTAGTGCTGGTGTAGACTAGCTATGAAGGCCGGGCATGGGTTTAGCGTTCTCTTTTTGTCTTTTGGCAATGAAGGCTGGTTTAGGGTTTTTGGAAAAAGTTAGGATATTTTTTCTATAATTCTGATATCATGTTAAGAATGGTTTGATGTTTATTCTATTGAATATTATAGTTTTATATATATAGGTTTTTTTAAGACGGAAAAGAAGACAAAAATTACTATTAATTATAAAAAATGTAATTTACCCTTATATCTTTTAACCTAATTTACCATTTTTTTAACAAGATCAATTAAAAAAGTTCAATCCACAATCATAGAGATTGGCAACAAGGTTGTCACAAACACAAGCAATGACTTCTTTTCTACCAAAAAGAAAAACAAAACCAATGGGCTGTTAAACATTCAATTTAATGAGAGTATCAATAGATTTTTGTTCTCTAAGCAGTCTTCTACATAATTATGAACCACTCATATATGTTAGGGCGTCTACATAACTTAATATGATCAGAATCCTTAAATTGAAGAACAATAACAAAATAAAACTGCTTACCAAAAACAAATAAAACCTTAATAAAATATAATCTGTAAAAGTCTTGCTAAATATAATAATTATAGTGGTAATTTTATATTAGTAAAAATTACTAGATGGTCCCACATCGTAGTGATTTCTTAAGCAAACTCTTCCACTCATCCAGAAAACTGGGTATTTACGCCTCGGCCATTTTCAAATATGCATAAATATTCATCTAACTCACCTCACCGTTCAAAGCCAAATGAAAAGTCTTGTATAAATGACCAAGAACATGTGCCTTCTAAGGTTACCGGAAATATACTTTGACAAGCAGAAAGAAATGAATACATACACATGCTAACTTACACTTTCAAATATCCTGCATATTGTTAATGGACTGTCCATATTAAGTTATGGAATCCATTGTGTCGATTTAAAATTCCTCTTTTGACTTCTCTTTTGGTCGTAGATTGATGATTATTTTTTTTAGTTGTAGGTTGATGATTATGTATTTATTTATAATAACGTTTAATATAGAGTTTTCTTTGTCTTTCGCATATTTCAGATGAGTGCATATTTTGCACCTGCTTTTTTCAGCCATCTGTTGGGAAAATGTCTAAGGCGTAAAAATCCTCTACTCGAGGTGTCCAAATTAGGTTTGACTGTCCTGATAACATTTGCTATTGTTTGGTGGCCGTATATCCATTCAATGGATGAGTTTTTGGGGGTAAGTAACTGATATATAATCTTCTTTCACAGGATTAGTTTCTGTTATTATCTTTTATATTGGTTGATAACATTTACTAATTTTTCATTGTGCTTTCTCTGAGCCAACTAGTCTTGGCTATTGACCTTAGATAGAAAAAAAGGATGGCTGTCACTTACATCTGGTTTTCTTGGATTTTTTTCTACTTTTGGATGAGTACTCAAGTCTTGCTATTATAAATGTTACAAATTCTCAAATTTGTAAACTTCCTAAGTAAAATTTAGGCTCCATTTGGCTCACTGAAAATGATTTGATGGAACTCATTTCCTCTAAAGTCCAGTGAAAGATCTTTTTCAGTTAAAGAAAAATGATGTAAGAAAAAAAGGAGAAAACAACCTTTTCAGAAAAAAAGTTGTTTTCCTTTGACCGTACAAACTGTAAACCTCCATCAGTGTTGTCTCTATCTTTCCCTTATATCTCAAATTTATCCTCTTATTTTTATTTTCTTTTGGTTTTGTTATGCTCTTCCTCCATGAAGTACCTTATTTTACAATATTTTATTTTTCACTTTTTTAATGATCTATTTTTATTGTGAAGCCTAAAAGTCTCTTATCTTATTTTCCTCTATATATTTTTTTTCTTATGCTTTAATTCTTTTCATTTATGAGTATGATAAACTACTTCTATTTGTAAATTACGATCATGATAATGTTGAATAATTATCTTATTAGCTTATTGATGGAAAAATTAAAAAAATGCATTCATGTTATGCTTAAAGGTTCTTATTTTTTAAAGAGTTTTGATGTGTTTTCTAAAGGGATAAATATACTCTTATCTGTATTGTAGTTTATGTTTATCACTAACATCATAGTTTTGTATTATTACGATTCTACAACCTAATGTTTTGTAGGATTAGAACTCAACTTAATATTATAAGTAGCATGTTTGTGTGATGAGTAAAATCTACCATTGAATATTTTCCATAATCATTCATGGTACCAGAGCCTAAACACAATTTTCTTTTTGTTGTTTCTCTTCACTACTAACTGTTAAACAAATCGAATTCTCTCTCTTCTCAGTCGCAAGCTTCTCTCTCTTCATCTACCAGATCCACTTTCTGTCTCTTCATCTTCTCATCTGCAAGCTTCTGTCACTTTCCTAGCCATTTGATGTTCTCTCTTCTCAATCGCAAGCTTCTCTCTTTTCATCTACCAGGTCCACTTTCTGTCCCTTCATCTTCTCATCTGCAAGCTTCTGTCACTTTCCTAGCCATTGAATGTGATTTGTTTTCGTGTAGAGATGCTTATGTAATATTTCCCCATAAAGTTAATAATTCTTTTAGTGCTATACTAATTAACAAAAATATTCTGTATTTTTATCTAAACGAGTTATTTTCTTTGAAAAGTAAAGACTTTCTATGAAACATATTTTGCTTCAGAAGTCATCTGCAAATCTAGTGGAGCCTTAGTTTTTGGAGTAGTTAATTTTTTACAAAGACATAATTTAATTTTCCTGATATACACATATATATTTGCTGAGAGGGCCAATACGAAATACAGTTTCCCTTTGAAACATGTTGATAATTTCCATTTTCCAGGTAGAGTTGTCAAACATAATTTAAAGAAAAATACATTTTCTTAAATAGGATAACTGAAGGGGTATCCAGTGCTGCCATTTTTCAACTGTCGTAGATAGATTGTGTTCCTTGAATGCTAGAGAACACAAATACCTATAGCTTTTCCAAGATTATTAGTAAGGTCATTTATTGCATTTGAGATTATAGGTCATATCAAGTTCTGCCATAAATTTGACCATGAAATGTTACTGTTTACACTAAAATGTCAGTGCCCCATTACAGGTTCTTTCCCGTCTAGCTCCTTTTGAAAGGGGAATATATGAGGATTACGTGGCCAACTTTTGGTGCACCACATCAGTATTTATAAAATGGAAGAGATTATTTACAACACAATCATTGAAGTTTCTCAGCTTAGCTGCAACTCTTTTTACCTGCTTACCCTCAATGGTTCAGCAAATATGGGCCCCCAGCAGTGAAGGTTTCCTCTATGCATTGCTAAATAGCTCTTTTGCGTTCTACTTGTTTTCATTCCAAGGTAGGTTCAACTTTTTCTTTCTTTTGACAATTTAGTTGTCTTGTGTTTTAACATTTTTTAAACTGTATATAAATGCAGTTCATGAGAAGTCAATTCTACTGCCTCTTCTCCCTGCAAGCCTACTGGCCCTTAAAATGCCTCATCCTTTCAGTTGGTTAACACATTATGCTCTATTCTCTATGTTTCCTCTTCTTTGTCGCGACAAGCTGGTACTTCCATATTTTTCCATATGTGCGCAATTTTTTCTTTTCCTTCATGCATCCTTTGGACTTCGTGGAAGATGCAATAAGAAAGATACCCTTTTTCCTGGCAGCACTGTCCCTACTCCCTTTTCTATTTTATTTCGCATTATTTATTTTTTCTCCCTCATTCTTCATGTTATTTACTTAAAGGTGCAGCCTCCAAAGAAGTATCCTTTCCTCTTTGAAGCAGTGATCATGCTTCTCTGCTTCTCTTACTTCGTGTTATTTACTCTGTATGCCAATTTAAAGCAATGGATGTTGTCAAGACAGTCAACATCAGGGGATACAGAAAAGAAAACGCTTTGATTCTTGTTTCTAATGCTAGGCTTATACCCAGGTTCTTCCTTTGAACTCTTTTTTTTTTTTCTTCTTGACACAAAAACCAGAAATTAGATATGATGACGGCTGCTAGATATGTAAGAACATGTTAGTTTATAGTGAAGAGAACCTCCCGGGTCTCAGAAGCATTTTAATTTGTTCATTAGACTTCACCAAATTAACATTCTTGAATTGTGACTTCTTGTTAAGTTTCATCGCATAATATTCTTTTACAGTTCTGGTTGATTTCTGGGTTCCTTTTGGAGTTGAAAGGTGTCTTAGCATTAAATAATGGGAATTGAGAAGTAAGTGCATGTTAAATGGCTTGTCTTAACAGGAGTTGAAATGTTTGAATATGTTATTTACATGGATTTTGCCTGATTGATGTAATGCATTTTGGTGACTAAGCAATTTGTAGCTATATGTGATTATCCTGTTTTTGTACCAAGCATGGCCTTGTAGAAGCTGAAGTTTTCATGTGATCAAGAATATGTAGATATTACCCCAAAAAGGGAACTTATAGAAATTATTTTTTGCTGCAATACAGTGTAAGATGACTTGTATGGAAGTCATTGAATAGGCTATTTGTTTCCTTCTTATAATTCATTTCATTTTAAACATTTTCTTTAGAAGAAATCTTATGAATCAAACAGGGTCCCCTGAATCAATCAAAGCTCAGAAAGGAGAAGTCTTTCAAACAAATATGTTTTATCGGCTATGAAAGTAACCCTTCTAACTAAGGTATCGTGATATAATTTTAGGAACTTAACCAATTTAAACAGTGGGAGAAAGGCATATAACATCCTCAGAAAATGATGCCAAATCGAAAACCAGAAGAAGAACAAGAACAAGAACTAAACCGAAAAATTTTCGTTCAACCTCTTCTAAACAAATAATAATAGGGTCTATTAAGTAATGGGTTATAGAATATGCAAAGACGAAGCTGAGTAAATAATTATAAAAAGCTATTCTATAGGATGATATCTAACGGCCTGATCTTCCCTTCTCCTCCCTCTGGGACAGTGTTTTTATCATCCAAGATTCTCTTCATTCATTATTATGCTGGTACTAACCATTCTCGATTCTTAATATGATTGAACTCAGTTTTATGTATATATTATTGTCAAGATGGTATATCACTCTGATATGGAAGTAGATAGAGTCTTATCATCCACATTTTCTCTCTGATAGGTTTCCAATCAGAAGCCTTTTTAATTTTGATAGGATTTTTCTCGTTCGGGTGAGAACGAACCACAGCTTTGTTCTGCAAATTGAAGATGATCTTTACTGCTGCAAAATGGTGATTAAATACATAAACATTCTAACCGAAGATGAACTCGGAATAAAAATCTTGAAATCAAAATAAAAGATGAGCTTAAAGGTAAGATTTTGGCTGATTCTGGCTAACAATTAGGCTCCATTTTCTGCACATATTCTTTTACTCAGGCAAGCATATCGTTTGATTTTGATAGTGGGCCGTTGTGATCTTCCTGGTGCATCGCTCTCTCTCTCTCTCTATATATATATATATATATGTATGTATTCTGTGGTTAACTTGCATTAGAATGGTACGTGAAGATCATGCTGTGGTCTCTTTGGTGATTAACTGTTATGAAATCTAAACCTAAAGTAAGCAGTTCATAAACTCAGAAAATTGTCGGTGGCCACAATATAAAAATCAATACAGTTGATAAGTTATATTTAGTAAGTACTTCGAATACATTAATATTTGACTTATTAAATATTTTCAACAATTTGTATCTGTCAAAAATTTATAAAATAAACATATTTAATCATAAAAGAGAAGCTGTAATGGCCCAGAACTTGAAAGAAATGAATTATAAATTGAATGCGGAAGCGAAATAATAGCGTTAGGGTTTACATTTTATACACAATAATTCAGAATATTCAATAGAAGTACAGGAATGTCCATTCTAAAAAAATAACGAATAGTCAAAGAAATAAATAGAAAGTAAACAAGTGAACATCTTATTTGCAACTCTCTTGTGGATCGAGATATGGATCTTGGTCCTCTTGATCTGAAATGATTAATGAAAGAGTGAACTACACTAACCCAATAAGAATGTCACACTATTCACCGATGCAGAAACGAAGGCTGGTAAAAATCATGAAAATATCTAATAAATAGCGAAATTTTTAAAACTGACATATAGAACCAATAGCACAATCAATATCATAATCTCATATTTAATTAACCAGAATAACAACTTTTACTTTTTATCTGTCTACTGGTATCCATTTTTTTATCATCCACATATTTTTTTTTTAATTTTTACATTAAATAAAAATTCATAAATTTAAAAATTATATTTTATATATTAATTTTAAAATTTTTAAAATTAATTACAGTTATTATTACAGAATCTATTATATTTTTCTGAAATAAACAAACCCATTAAATATTTTGCCGACATGTAGAAAATTCATACTGTAAAACTTGAAT